ATACTACCAGAGCTCCTTATAAAAGAGGGAGCAGGGGCTAAATTGTGAAAAGTGTTGTAGGCAGTGGGGAGTCATGGGTGGCTTAGGCATGGAAGTTTCAACATCAAATTTATATGTTACTTTTCTAACAGGGTAGAGAATACTAGGACTACACTAGAGGCAGATGACTATTATGAAGGGAACAGACTGACGACTTAATTTGAGACAATGGCTGGAAGAATAGTTTTAAAAATAATTCCAAAGGAACTGATCACTGATTAGATGTTGGAAGTGAGGGAGGGATAAAGGAAAATGTCCAGGCTTATTGTCAAATGATTAGACAGATTATGGTGCTACAGGGACTACAAGAAGAAGTCCAAACTGAGTTTAAAATCAAATGGAGAATCAGATCACAGTTAACTAAGTCTAAGAGCTGGGTTGAAAATGAATATGTGAGTCATCAGCAATTTTGTTGGTGATTAATGCTGTGAGAATGGATAAAAGACCTCAGAGAATGTGAACTAGGAAGGGATCTCAGTATAGAATCTGGGAGAATATCAATATTTGAGAAACTACCACAGATGAAAAAGGGATAGGAGAAGAACCAGAAGAGATGATCATAGAAACCAACATAAGAGTAAATGAGCCACAGTTTGAGCTTTGAGGAGAGCAATACACAAGAAGGAAAAACAAGGTAGATAGGGGAACACAGACAAGCTTGCATGGGCTAAATGGGCCAGAGATATATAGTGATGCATGCTCAACCTTGGAACAACATTGCTCTGTGACACAGAGATTGAGGTATGGTCTGAAGAGGAGAAACAACACTAAGATGCCTGACTGTCTTATAAATATTGTTTCCCTCACCTACTATTGTAAAATAGACACTTGAGTGGGACAGAAAGGAATGTTGGGAAACATGATTACAGAAAGCTTGTAAAGCCGTGTTCAGCCTATAACTGATTGGAATACCTAAAAGGGTTCGAGAACTTGCCCAGTGAAACAGGCCTCTTGTGAAACTTTTGCAGTGTATAGGACCTCAGGTGGAATCCTGAGCCCCGTCCAGAACTTTCTGAGGTGGGACATTCCCACTAGGAAGGACAAGCAGACCAGTCTGGAACAGCCAGAATGACAGAAAATACATCTTCAAAGAAAGATCATCAGGAAAAACCAAAAACAAAAATGGCAGTATGATTGACTACTACAAGAATAAGCAAGCTGTTCGCAGGGAAGCCATCAAGGCAAGCAATCAAGTTCCTTCAGGACAAACCCACCTATAAGACTGAAACTCAAAGGGAACACATGAGCAGGAATGTAAGCTTACTGGCGACCACATTGGTCTACTGGTGAGTGGAAGAGAGCGAAAGGCAGCAATGTAGAAACGGGCTGAGTTCAACCACAGTCCATTGACTCCTGTTGACCTGGAGATGAGAGAGAAAAGAAGAAGGGCTGGTTGGTCCAAAGTGTGATGAGACCTGGGGACACCTGAGCCCATGTACAAGGACACAGCCACAGAGGGCTAGAGCTGAGTGAAGCATCCAGCTGATAGGAAGTGAGGGGAGATGCACAAGCAAACACCACCACCATCCATCCATGCCTTAGTTGGTATTCCTGTTGTAACACTGTAAGATATGCACTGGACAGCTAAGCACAAAGTTGGCAGTTCAAACACACCAGTCACTCCTTGGAAACCCTATACAGGGTTGCAATGAGTCAGACCTGACTCTACGGTACTTACCAACAACAATGCATTCCATTCCATTTTTGACAATTTCCAATTTTCCTAGAATCATACTTACATTCTACATTCTGATCATTAATAGATGTTTGCAGCTGTTTCTTCCATTTTGAGTCTCCCCATTTAGAAACTATCTCAAGAATAGAATTGACCCATTGAACACTATTGATGGAAGACCAGAGGAGTTGTGGGATGACATCAAAGGCATATGTGAGAAAAACAAAAAATCAGTTCAAAGAAAAAAAAAAAGATCAAAATGGATGTTAGAAGAGACTCTGAACCTTGCTTTTGAGCATCATGGTTAAGTGCAGTTGAGTGGGTTTCCAAGGAGCAGCTGGTGGGTTGTGAACCACCAACCTGTGGTTAGCAGTCCAGTGTTTGTCCCACAGTGCCAGACCAGGACTGGAAGAAATGATGAAGTAAAAGAGCTGGCCAGAAGATTTCAAAGGGCAACTCAAGAAGACAAAGTAAAGTATTATGATGAAACATGCAAACTAGAAGGGAAGACCATACTCAGCGTTTCTCAAGCGGAAAGAACTGAAGAAAAAAATTCAAGTCTTGATTGCAATACTATGAGAGAAATGTTGAATGATGCAGGAAACATCAAAAAATAATGGAAGGAATATATAGTCATTGTGCCAAAAAGAACTGTCAACATTCAACCACTTCAGGAGGTAATAGATATTATGATCAAGAAGGCCAAGCTGCAATACCAAGAAGGCAATGAATGGGATCCAGAGCACTTAATTGCGCTTATACACCAACAGGAAAGAATTAAAAGAAAACTAGGGGTACTTCGTGGTTTAAAATCCGGAAAGGTTTGCTTCAGGATTGTCTTCTTTCACCACACCTATTCAGTCTATATGCTGGGAAAGTAATTCCAGAAGATGGATTATATGAAGAAGAAGGTGCTATCAGGATTGGTGGAAGTCTCATCAACAAGGAGATCTGGTAGCGTAGTGGTTACAAATCGGGCTGTGAACCTCAAGGTCAGCAGTTCGAAACTACCAGCCGTTCCACGGGAGAAAGATAAGGCGTTCTGCTCCCGTGAGCACAGGGTCACTATGAGTCGGAACCAACTCCACGGCACTTAACAACAAGTGTTTAAAACAAAACAATAGAGCTAAAATGAAGAGAGAAATACTGTTAACTGATGGTACATGGAGGGGATTATAATCATTGTAATGAAACAAAGTATATGATTTGTTGAAAGTAAAACTGATTATCTGCTCTGTAAACTTTCACTCAATTCACCATAAAAACTTAAAAAAAAAAAAAAAAGGAATTTAGAAATCAAAACAAAACAAGTAAATGAGCAATAGTGGCAAATGGTAAGAACCAAAGAGAAGTAGATTCAGCCATTAGGTTAGTGTTTTATAGTTGTTGTTAAGTGCCGTCATGTGGGTTCCAATTCATAGTGACCATGTCTTGTAGGGTTTGAGGCTTTTAAATCTTTGTGGGATCAGAAAGTCTTATCTTTCCCCCCATGGAGCAGCTGTAGAGCTCATGCTATAAACCTCATGATTCGAGGTCCAATGCATACAGTATGGAGTCACCACGTGCCCTATTTTATAGCAGTTACTGTCATTGCTGTTAAGTACGATTGAGCCCGTTCCGATGCACAGTGACTCTGTATAGGGTTTCCAAGGAGCAGCTCATGGGTTTGAACCACCGACCTTGCAGTTCACAGTTCAGTGCTGATCCTGTAAAGCATACTAGAAGTCCTGAATAGTAGTATGGGGCTGTGATTGATTAAGAAGTAGCTGGAAGGTAAAAAAGTAGAAATCTACACTGAGTACAGATTAAGCTTTCAAGAAATTTGGCTGAAAATAGAAGAAAAGATACAGAGTAGTAACTAATGGTTACTGAGAGGTTATCTGGTTTTCCTAGAATAGGATACCAGTTTGTTGATAGGGTGAGGAAAGGGAGTTAATGGGAAGGGGTGGGGGATGCTGATAATACATGAGAGGTGATAGGAAATGTCTGAAGGCATTCACATTTATAGTCCAGGATGATTACTTCATAACTGTAGCCACAGTATTCTT